ACCTCCATTTTAATTATGTGTTAATATAATTAATGTATAATTAAGCAGCAAAGGAGGAAGCAGGACAGAAGGGAAAACAAGAAAAAGAAGATGGATAGGATCACTTACCTTAACAGTGGCAGCCGTTTTCAGATTAGCACAATTGGCTGTGGGCAAAAAAAAATAAAGATCAGCCAGGGCATTGGTTAGAAGAGGGCCTACCTACTTGGCCCAGGGTGGTGGATGACACCTGTAATCCTAGCACTTTGGGAGGCTGAGGCTGGTAGATCACTTGAGATCATGAGTTTGAGACCAGCTTGACCAAGAACAAGATCCCTTCTTTACTAAAAATAGAAAAATTAGCCAGGTATCATGCCGGGCACCTATAGTCCCAGCCACCTGGGAGGCTGAGGCAGGAGGATAGCTTGAACTCAGGAATTTGAGGTTGCTGTGGGCTAGGCTGAGGCCTAGTCAAAAAAGAAAAGAAAGGAGAGTGAGAGCAAGAAAGGAGAGAGAGAGAGAAAGGAAGGAAGGAAAGCAGGAAGCAAGCATGCAAGCAAGAAAGATTGGCAGCCAGTAGTTTTCTCAGGTATCCAAAACATACCAAATTCCCTCATGTTTTTGCCATTAACTCACTTTACCACAGTGAAAAGTAACCTCATGATCTGCAAACCAGCATTTCTCAGGAAGCTGAGGAGGAATCTGAGACAATGTATCCTATGACCTGGACACAAAGAACCTTCATTTGCCACACTCCAAGACTGCAACAAACCACATTCTAAACTCCCCTTCTCATATAACCTCGGGTGTTCCCAGCGACCTAGCTACACCTTTCAGGAAACCATCAGCCCCAGCACCTGGCTGCCCAAATGCCTTGTGAAATGTGTTCACACCACTGTAGACAGAACCACACGTCCAGATCCGGCTGTGTCTGGACTGTCTTCTATCTAGTTGACTCAGGTGTGTACGGGCCTATATCCCACAGGCCTGGCCACTAGACAGGCAGACCTTGCTCAAAACACAGCTGGGTAGGTGATATTTTGCTCAAGCTCTCAAATCTGTTGGCTCTGCTCTGAGTCATACTCCAGCCATCTGAGGTGGAGTCTTTGAGTTCTCTTTTTCCTGTTGGTTTCTACTGTCATGGAAGCACCCAGAGAAAGCTCAAGTTTCTTTTGTGCTCTGACTTGAACTAGTTAGGAAGTGCCTGGAATCCTCTTGCTCCTGTAAACACTCTCACTGAGCAGGACTTCAGTCCTGGAAGGGCTCAGAGGTCATCCTGGCCACCCACTCACTTTCTCAGTGAGGTGACTCCCAAGAGGGGCAGTGAGTTGCTCAAGATTCCATGGTCTGATGGTGGCAGAACCAGGCCAAAATTCAATAAACCTACCCAAGTGGGAGGACATTGCCCATTAGAGCCCCTGCTCCCCCAGAAGTTTCTCAAGCCCAAATGTCCTCTTCATGTTCCATGGAGGGCTGAGCCTGGCCACCCCTTCCCCTCTCTCCACAGACACAGATTGCTCAGCAATCCCGGTTTCCTCCCTAGGGCTCCCCCTTCAGACTCCCCCTCCCCCTTAGACTCCTATCTCCTGGATCCTATGTGCCCCAGCCTCACAACTCCTAACCCTACCCAAATATCTCTGATTCCCTGCTCTGGAAAAATCCCTGATTCCTGGTCCCACAAATTCAGACACAATCCTCGCCTCTTGGTCTGGGACCAACGTTCCTCTTCTAACCTCCAGTGAGGTCCTCTTCAGGCCCAGGAGTTAGACTCAGAACTGACCAAGAGATTTGAGCCCTGCCCCCCTCCAGGCCCCTCCCCTTCAGCTCCCAGCTGAACTCACACAAGCCACTTCTTGCTGGCTCCAGGCCACCTGGCAGCCCTGGGTGAGACATTGCTGAATTCCCTTTGGGGAAAGGGAATGCTGTGCTCACCTGGGTCTTCCCATTTCCCATGCTCAGGGTTTCTTTTTCTTTCTTTCTGAGACAGAGTCTCACTTTGTCACCCTCAGTAGGGTGCCATGGCATCATAGCTCACAGCAACCTCAAACTCTTGGGTTCAAGCAATTCTCTTGCCTCAGCCTCCCAAGTAACTGGGGCTACAGGTGCCTGCCACAGTTTCTGGCTATTATTTTTTATTTTAGAGATAGAGTTCTTATTCTTGCTCAGGCTGGTCTCAAACCTATGAGCTCAGGAAATCCACCCATGTTGGCCTCCCAGAGTGCTACAATTATAGGCATGAGCCACAGCACCTGGCCTATGCTCACGGTTCCTTATAGTAAGAAAATTATGGGGTTGGGTCTCAGTTCTCAGGATGAAGGATAAAGGACAGGAACAACGCAGACCATCCCTCTCACAGACACTTCCTCTCCTTCCCCCTCCCCAGGTCCCCTGCCAAAGACCCTCTACTCTGAATTATGGTCCAGAAAGACATAATTCGGCTCAGTGGCAGGGACTCTTAGGTGTGTCAGAACAGCCACTCCATTGCGTCTTTCTCAGGCTTGCTCTGCCTTTTAAACACACACACCCCTTTCAGTATCTCTGAATCTCTCTGTTGACTTATCACCAACTGAGGTCCCAACTATGAACCAATTGCAACATGCTTTGTGAGGTAATAGTTGTATTATGTTCTCTTTCTGGGTGACTCACTTCTCCCTCAACCCCTATCTGAGCCACAGCAGTCCTCCCCCATGCCTTGGCCCCATGCCTGGAGTGTCCTCTTAGCAGAGCTAACCGCTGCCCTCACACGCCACCTCCTTGCATTTAATGTGCTGCCACTGTCTACTAGGCTCTGGGGGAAGAGCTTCAGCCTCTTTCATCCTCATAACACTTTGAGGTGGCTTCTGTTAGTGTCCCCATTTCCAGATGATGACACTGAGGGACAGACAGGTGGACTATTTCACCAAGGTCAGGTAACTGTTGAGCTGTGAGGCTGCAACTTGAACCCAGGCAGTCTGGCCACCCGATATGTGCTTCCATCACTGCACTACACTGCCCCCACGGAATCTGCTTGGACCACCACAGCCCATGCTGGACTGTGGAGCCGCCTCTGTACCCCTGTCACAGCCTTCTCACTTCTCTGTCACTGCTCTTGTCCCACCTTACTATAACGATCTCCCCACAATGCTGA